ATTATTTAAATCAAATACTTTTGGTATATTTTTTATTAATTGTGGTGATAAATATTTAATACCAGCAACAGCGCCACCACCACAACCAGTATTATACCATGATGATGATGTTGATTGATAATTTTTCAGATATTCAGTCATTGTTTTATCATCATTTTCATTCGTCGTGGTTATATCATTCATTGAATTAAAATGTTTTGATGATGATGATGATAATTGTAATAATGAATTAATATCACATGAATTTTTCATTAAATGATATTTTAATGCTTCAATAAGTAAATCTTTTGTAACGGGTTCATTTTTAACTAATGGATATTCATTTTCAATATTAAATAATTCTTCTTGATTAAATCTTGGAAATCTTATATGTTTAATTAGATTGGATAAATATTTTTGTCGTTCATTATAATTATACATAATCCAATTTATAATAGCTGATAGGACAATATGTTCACCTTCATCACCTGTATCCAGATAATCTGAAGATATAATTTCAATAATACGTTCCGGGGATGATAATTGTAAAAATTCTTCATTTTGTATAATTTTTACAAAATTATTCAGAATAAATTGAAATGTAAAATCTTTCAAATCTTTTAGGCTCATTATATCGGCAAATGTATTGATACCAATTGCGTTTGTAATTTTCAGCCGTGAACAAAGAAATTCACAACAAATTTTTATAATATCTTTACAATTCAACATTGTTGCAGCTGATAATAATAATTCTACATTCGTTTCATTTATATTACAATGACCAAGATAACAATATTTTATAATTTCATTCAAACTATTACCATCCAGATTTTTTATCGATATTTCATATTGATTTTGTTCAATAAAATTTATATTATATGTTGATGATATTGTATTCTGATGATGATTATTCTGATCATCATCATGGTCATCATCTTGCATTTTACCAATAGAATCATCAAAAGATTCCGTTGAAAAATCTTGACCAATAAACATTGTTGAAAAATAATGCAAAGTTGATGATAATACAATACGATGTGCATAAATATGACAACCATCATCAGTTACTAGGCATACATCACATAATTTTGGTCGCATACGATACATTTGTGCTAAATTTATTTGACTATTCCATTTCAGTCCAGGAATGGATGAATAATGTTGATCTTGATCAATCATTGATGATGATGGTTTTTTCATCATCATCGACGTCGTCGTATCCGAAGATCCAATGACCATTGATGATGATGATTGTTTTTGATGATATTCATCATTTGCATTGTTATTATTCGAAACAAATGTATCACGATATTCTTCTTCAACATCATCTTCGACGTCCATTTTTTTTCTTTCACAGCCAGCTGGATTTTCAAAAACAAAAACTTTTTGACAACGAAATTAATTACTAAACAGCAAAATTAAATGATGATGATGTTTGCTTGAAGATTTTTTCTTGTTTTTTTGAGGTTTTTATCGAAGAATCAAACAAACAAAACAAACAAAAAAAATCAAAACAACGAAAAAAGATTCGATGCTCGGAAGCGCATGACCAATGCGAATGTTTATGATTTTTTTTTGTTTGTTCTTTTTTTCACAAAATTCGAATTCGAATGTTTCTTTTTTTCTCGTTCGAATTTGGAAAATTTTTTTACAAAATTTTGACAAAATTTTAACGAATTTTTTCTTGAAAAAAGTAAAAATTATTCTTCAAAACATAGAATTGTAGAATGATTTATGAATGATGTAAAACATTGAAGAAAAAAAAACATGAAGACATTTGTCATATGTGAAGACACACAAGCGAAAAAAAAAGAAAACATGAAAATGAAACGCAGCCAACCACCATCACCAACCACCATCAAATGATTGCGAAATTTGACATTGATGATTGAGATTTTTCTACTGT